TGGGATGTTGTCATGCTGTAATCCCTTCTCCTCCATTTCCCCATGCAGTTGGGATTTGGGGCTCACGTATACCCATGCCCAGAGTGTTTTTCAAGTCTCCAGAGCAAGGATTTGAACCACAGTTGGCCATGTGGGATCTGGCTCCCTTAATCAATAGTTCATGGGGCCAGCCCCTCTCAGGAATTCTGACAGCTACCGCTGAGAATCACTGGTATAGGTATGGGGAGAAAGAGGAAAGGAGAGAAGAAAAACCACTTTCAGACTTGAGGCTTTAGAGCAGGGCTCAGAAGGAAGAGATCGTTCTGGAAGTCCACATTCTAGCAGGAAGCCCAGGATCACAGGCAGAGGCCCCACCCTCACCTGGTAATGCATTAGCGTGTTGAGCCGCTTCCAGTCACCCTCGATCTTGGTGGTAATGTCCTCATCCTGCAGCACGACCCGCGCAATCCGGCCTTGGCGCCACTCTGAGTGGAGAGGGAGGCGTAGGTAGCAGTGTGAGAGGGGAGGGGGCTGCAAGGTAGTCTCACCCAGTCGTACCACCTCTAGGGACCTGGCTGCTCTGATTCCCTGGAGCCGGTGCCAGTGATAGAGCTTAGAGACACCTAGGGGCCCGTGTGTCAAAGTGGAGCAAGGGGGCAGGGGAGACATGTACATCCGCACCCCCCAAGACAGTTACATGCATGCCCACAGTGCCTGAACGAAGGCAGAAGCATTTCAGCTGACCCAGCCAGGCCCCCAGGAGGGTGTGTGCAGGGCAGGGCTTCCCATCCTCCCCTGTAGCGAGCTGCCTATCTACCCTCGCCTCGTGCCTCACCACCATGCTTCCTACCCAGGTCCATGTCCACAGCCCTCGGCCGCTGGGAGTAGGGCACATTCTTATACACGGCATCGAGGATCTTCTCCTTGACCTGCGTGATGGTGTCGCAGTTTAACACTTTCACTGGGATCTCCGGACTGTTCTCATTGTCAGGGTTGACACAGTTCAGGATCTGCAAGTGGGGGACAGAGGGTGAGTAGGACAAGAGTTGAAAGAGCAGTTTGAGGGACCAGCAGATGGCATAATGGTTACATCACTGGACTCCCACATAGTCAACTGTGCTTTAAGTCCCAGACCCGGCAATTTAAAACTCACACTGGGCGCATGTGTGTGCGTGCCCAAAATCCCAAGAGGAGAATGGAGAAGAAGGGATTGTGGTGTGGTCATCTCCCCTGGGGGGTGATTTCTTGCTTTCTGTCTCTCTGTCTCTCTCTGGCAAGTGCACATGCTCTAACAATAATCTCTAATAAAAAAGAACAGTTTGAGGAAGAGGGGTCAAGACCTCCAAATTTTCTAAGACCCACCCTCTTTTTAGGAAATAGGGGGTCTCTCTGGACTGTGCCTCAGTTTCTCTCTCTTTCCTGCCATTGCCAAACAAATGAGAATTACTGTGTCCATCCCTTTTTTCTCAAAGAACTGGGATCCACCTTTCTAGTTTAGGGAGACTACACCCGTGGAATGAGATACCCTAGGGGTTTAGAGATGGTTCTGGGGGGTCTCAAGGGCTGGTCTGACACTTCTCCAAAGCGTCTGTATTGGGAATGGGCATGCTGACATGAGAACTACCCCATACCTAGTGGAGGGAGTGACTACTTTTTCTCCTTAATACTTTTTGGAGTAAACTGAGGCACTGAGAGTGCTTAGGGTCCACCAAATGGGATGGCCTGCCCGTGTTGCTCTACAGTGTTTGATATGCCCTGTGGGTCTCCCACTAGACGGCCTCGGTGGTCAGAGGGGGAGTGGAGACCAGAGGCAGGGGGTGCACGTGTGTCGCTGAGCTCTGGGCTCCTCACCAGGGTCTTGTACTCGATCTGCTGTCGGATGAGCTTGTCCTCGCTCAGGGAGTAGCGGGCCTCGCCCGTGATGGCGTCGATAGGGCCCTTCTCCATCTGCTGCTTGATCGCGCAGTACAGCATAAACAGCGGCTCCCCGGCACACTCCTGTGGGCACAGCAGGGCACGGGCAGGTGTGGGCGCTGAGTCCTTAGGGCTGCTCACTCTCCCCTCCTCTCCTGGTCATGCAGGAGCTGGGGCAGGAGGAGAGGGGCTTCCTAGGCCCAGTTGGCTTTGGAGCACCCAGAGCAGCAGGTTCCTGTTCCTGAGGGATGGGGACCCCACACAGCTCTGAAGGCTAGGCTCAGAGGAGCAGTCAGCCAGTTTGCTCTTGGCGTTGGGCCCAGCACACTCCCTTTCTCACCTTCAGGAACTTGTGCAGGAGGAAGGCAAACCAATTGGTCAGCATCTTCTCAGCCACAGACTCTGTCCTGGGGAAGGGAGAAGGGAGGAGGGTCACCCTTTACAGAGCAGGAGGGCTGGATGGTTTATGGGCAGTGACCCCAGAGAACCACAGGGCATGTAAGAAGAGAGGACTGGGAGCCAGGACACCGAGGTCTGAGCCCAGCTCTATCAGTAATTGCAAGTGTGGCCTTGGGCCAGGGGAGGCTTTCTTCTGGTACCCAACTTCCTGTGAAAATGAAGGGAGGGTAAGACCTCTTGTCCCTGATGCTCTGTGGTTCTACAAAGTGCTTTGCTGTTTCTGAGACAGGGACTGCAGGTAAAGGCATCTGCATCCCTCCCACAGCACTGTAAAAGACTAGTCTCCATACGCCTTTTGGCTTGGGGTGATGAAGAGAGTTTGCCTGTCCCCCTGGGATTTCCTCCATGCCCGAGTACTCTGCTTTGCCTATCTGGAAGGTACCTGAGACCTTCCTCTCCAAACACTCAGGGTCAGACTGCCTTTGGTTCAAATCCAGACTCTGCCATGTACTGACCCTGTGACTTTGAGCAAGTCATTATCTGCCCCTCCCCCCCCACCGTGGTCATTATCGAGGTTGAATGACTTAATGCACACCACATGCTAAGAATAGTGCCTAGCACCTGGTAAGCGCTGTTAGGGGTTCACTCTCATTACTGCTGCCTTGTGGGGTCCTGGATCCCAGCCCTGCAGGTACAGAGCTGTGCCTGAGTGCTTAGCCCACAGGGGATCTGCTTCTGTAGGTGCCACTCCCTCTCTCCCCCTCCCCGAGTCCAGATCTGGGGACTTGGGAAGAAACAAAGCTGCTGTGACAGACCCTCAGTGATGGGGGTGCCGAGGGGTATTTTAACTCCCGGCATGGCACGTGGTGCAAATTATACCCTCTGGTTGCAGCAAATCCCAGGCTGTTCCCAGGGCTGCTCAGCGATCTGGGCCTGGGAGAGAGTGACAATAGCAGAAGAAATTGTAGCTTTCTCCGCAGCCCCTCCCAGCACCTCTGCCTGCATTGTGCCTGAGATTAGCTCTAATTTAAATACAACAGTTCTTAATGAGACTTTCTAAGGCTCAGATTGGCAGGTTGGGGGCTCAGCACTCCTAGAACAGAACAGTTTTTCCGCCCTCCTTACCCACGTGGGACCTGGCAGGACTGGAGAGGAGGAGGGTTCCGACCCCTGCTGCCAAAGGAGCTCTAAAGCTACACCTGGATCTCAGTCGTCCCTAGAGAGGGTGATCTCAGGGGTTTCCATCCCTCTTGCTTCCCAGGAAAGTGGCAACTGGTGGTGGACGCTGGTGATTCAGATCCAGGAAGCTGGGCACAGGAGGGACAGGCCGCTCCCAATCTCTGCCCCACCACAGTCTGGTCAAACCGCCTACGATGAAGAAAATGCTCTCTATCTGTGCTGTCCACTATGGTGACCCCTAGCCACACATGGCGATCTAGCACCTGGAACGTGGTGGCAGGACGGAGGGACTGCATTTTACAGAACCTTGCTCCACGCGGTTGTGGCTGCTGTGTTGGACCGCATAGCTCTAAAAGCATGTGAAGAGGGACTGCGACACAAGTGTTGTTACTCGCACTTCCCAGGAAGAAACTGAGTGACAGGAAGGAGACGGTCTGGGCCCAGGATCACAGAGCTAGCAGGTGGCAGAGCTGGGGGTCCAACTGAGGCCTGTGTCCCTTTGTTCCCTGGGGGCTTCTGACACTGCAGCCTCCCTGCGTTCTGCACTGGGAGACGCAAGGATGCAGGTTGCTCTGCACGGGAGTTCTGGGAATGGGAACCTTCTCCCCCTCTCCCCGCCTGCTGCGGGTCAGACCTCCGGAGAAGCAGCTTTGGATGGTTCTTGTTCTCCAGGTTCTTGTCGATGAGGTCAGAGAGCAGCTGCTTGAGCACGTCGGTGGCGTACTCCAGGCGGCCCTGCAGGCCCGTCATGATGAGTGAAGCCACGTTGCCGCGGTCACGCATGGAGAAGCTGCGCTGCAGCTCCAGGGTGCGGATGAAGGGCTGCGGATGAAGGACAGCAGGAACACCTTGTTGTTGATGAGCTGGGCGAAGAGCTTCAGGGCCTTCTCCACATGCTGTTGCCCATTGCCCTGCACCTGTGGTGGGGCGGATGGGGGAGTGACCGGCAGGTCCGAAGGGGCAGGCCGCTGGCCTCCTATCTGGGCTCGCACCAATAGCCTTGGCCATGGACCCTCGGCACCAGGCCTACAAGCTCCCATCCTGTTTCACACACCCCCTGTGTCGGGGTGACTGGTCTCTGGAGTCTGCAGTGGGCTCTGACCTTCCACTAGAAGAGGCATCTGATTTTGCCAAGGACGTGACAGGAGATAGCCACCAGGCTTCTTCACTTTACTAGTCTCCCCTTAATCCCCTCTGTCCTGATTAATTACCTCTAGTAAAACAAACCAACAAAGAAACAAACAAGCCTCATAGAATCCTATGTCTTTCTTTAAACCACTTTAAATCCATTGTAGAATGAGGCAGGATCTTAGTTCATTAATTCAGTCATTAAGTAAAAAGATGACAATGAGCCTTCCCCCAGAATCACTTGGAAGAGCCAGGGTGCTCCCTTGACTGTGACCTTCCTGAGAGCTTGGCTGCTGTGATGCTGTGATGACCCCCGTCCCTCCCCATTGTCACCCTGCCCTGTGCTGCTGGGCCCCTTGCAGAGTTCCTGGGCAACCCCAGCCCTGTGTCCCTGCGGGGTGGTTGTGCCAGGGAGGCAGGCGTTACCTCCAGCTCCCGCAGGACGGGGTGGTCCTCGATGCCTGGGAACAGGACTCGCATGGCGTAAGTACGATAGTCCAAGTAGGGGATCCCTGAGCGGTCCAGATCGCTGGTCAACTCGTTGATGTCCGTTTGGAGTTCAGCAAAAGCTGTGAGAGTGAGCAGACAGGGAGACTGAGGGGGAGCCCCACTCGAGAAAAGAAAGAGGGCGAAGTTCGTGAAGGAGGAGGGGAGGACCTGGTGTGCACAGACAGAGGCGCAGGGGTGTGTCTCCACAGGGGGCTGGGGGAGCAGATAGTCCTAGGCTGCCATTTTAGATGATGGGAAAATGGGTGATTTTTACATTGTTTTCTCCTCTATGCTTATCTATAATCTTGAATTTTCTTTCTACATATTACAGATGTAGTTAAAACACAGACAGAGGGAGGACATCATTACTGGGTAATTCCCTGAAGATGCTGGAACTGCTGAAACAGGTGAGAGACAGTGGTTGAGGGTGTCAAGCAAAGACCAGACCAGGCACATTGCTGTCCTCTTCCAAGTCAGAGAATAACTCAAGATGCAAGATCCCTGGGGATCCCTGGTCATCAGAAGCTCAGCTGACCGCAAGTTTGGGCAGTAAAGAGCTCCAGCGGTCTCAGCTGGTGGCAGGCCTGTCCCCCTGGTGCCCTCTTCTCCCAAACTTTCCAGTGCTGGCACCAGGAAGAGCCATCACCGTACCCATTTCCCCAGCCTGGCTTTTCCCTTTAATTCAGCAGAAGGCTTATTTCTGACTTAACACTTGAAGCAAAAGGAGAAATGTTTTGATTCCTAATTGAGATGTTTACCCAGAGAGCCTGGTGTGTCCTCTGTCAGAGAGGACAACAGGTACACTTGTCACCTGTGGCTGTGCATGCGTGGGAGATGGTAGAAAACACAGTCTCTACTCCCACACACGTCCATGGCCAAGGACGCCAGTAAGCGGCAGGTGGCCTTCGAGCGCTCAGCCTGCAGCACTGACAGAAAACAAACCCTGGGGGAGGTGGCAGGGAAGGGGGAGAGGTGCTCTCCTGCCTCTCCCATCTGCGCTTCCACTTGCTGCAAAGACAGCTCTGCAAAAACCAGCTAGACACTCCCATATGAGGGACCTATACTATAGGGACATTGAAGCCCTGAGAGGGACAGGGAGTGAGCCAGAGAGTTAGGGCCAAGAGGGACCAGAACAATGTAATGGGACCTGGGTCCTCTTGTGGTAGAAATTCTTAATAGGACTCTTTGGGCCCTAAAAGCAAAGGGAGTTTCTAGAAAAGCAGAGGTCAATGCAGCATATAAAGGCTTGAGTGGGAGGGACGGGAGTACAGATGGGAGCCGCTGGTCGGGAGGAAGGTCACACGGCTGGTGAAGAGCAAGGGTCAGGGGGCAAGGGCTGGCTTCCGCTCACCTTCCTTGCATTCCAGGGCCACACGGGACTCCAGGTTGTCCATCTGCATTTGGAGCCGCTTGAGCGTGAGGTCGTTTTCTCGAGACTTGCGCTTGTAGGCGATGAGCACGATGATGACGATGATGAGCAGGAGGCTGCCGCCGGCTGCGATGCTGACGATGGCTGGCAGGGTCAGCAAGCTGTCTGAGATGACACTCACCGAGCCAGGCGAGAACACCATCCCGCCCACGTGAACCTGTGCATTGTACACACACAGACGCACACGGATGCACACAGGTGTAGAGCCCTGGCATGCCATCCAGCCCTTACAGTGTGAGGAAGGACATGACAGACCACAACCACACAGTGCAAATTGGATACGAAGCAACTTCCTGCCTTGGCATCTGCCTGCCTTTCCTTGTGTGCTCAGCTTCTACCCATTTTAATGTCGGACACGGAGATGAGGAGATAAAGAGGGTGTGAGTCAGGCAACGAGGCGGAAGAGAGTGCCTTCCTTTATGACAGACCACGCATGCACGGTGTGGAGGGAGGAAGCAGTAGAAGAGGGGCCCACTCACCATGACCTTGTGCTGCCCCGTGAGGTTGGGCGGCTCGCAGAGAAGCTGTGTCTCGGACACGGTGACGGCGCAAGGGGTCTCTCCAATTAGCACTGTGTAGTTGAGTTTGGCTCCTCCAGAGGCAGGAGGGCAGAGGTTCTTGCCCTGTAGAGAACAGTGATCTTAGCAGGAATAATTGACACAGATGCACAAAGTTAATTGTCTACCTAAGAGACTAAGGAGATGGGGTAGGGGTAGCAGCGCAAAAGCCAATGAATGACTCCCGGGCAGTGTTTTGGGGGTGACTTCTTCTTTTTTTTTTTTTTTTTAAGTGTGCAACAGGGTGTATGCACTTGCTGGAGAGAGACAGGAATAGTGAGAAAGCGCCCCCCAAGGAGAATGGCCACAGTCCCTTCTCCATTCTCCTTTCAGGATTTTTGCCACACACACACAGACGCCCAGCGTGGTTTTCAAGCTACTTGAACTGCACCATCTGCCATGTGGGATCCAGCCGCCCTAACCACCAAGCCCGGACCTGACTGGAGGTGACTTCTAATAGCCACAACTTAGAGAGGAAACACAGGAAGGAGAGAATGAAGGTGAAGAAGAGGGTGGGAAAGAGGCAGTGAAGACTAAACTCTAAACGAGAATACTTAGGGGAGGTCTCATGGGATTGGATGACAGTGGAGGGGTAACAAAACGCTGGTGAACAGTCCCAGGGCACTGTGACTCTTGAAATACGTGTGCAGGTCCCTGCGGCCGTGGAAATGACAGTAAATGGAAGCAGTTACTTCCAACTCACTGCAGAGCCTCTGCTTCCCAGAGCTCCCAGGAACAAACAGAAACATTCTAAAGTGTTTCTGGAGAATCCCCAGGGCAAGATATATTACGCCATGGGTCGATGTCCACAAACAAGCTCCTGCTCTTGGGAGGTGACAGCTCTGTGAGCCCACATGCACAGAGAGAACAGGAAGCCAGGCAGGCCGGAGGAGGTGGGGTGTGCAGCACCCTCACTCCTACCTTCAGGATGATGGGGGATCCTGGCTTCTGGTCCAGGACTCCAGTTGGGCTGAGCAGTTCAAAGGTCGGGTTGGGGTAGTAGATGAACTTGGTGTCGTTGTAAATCAGCAAGGATTGGACGTTGTTAAAGACAAACCCGAACTCGTCTGGCCGTTCCACGGTGTCCAGGCCAGGCCGGTAGTCGGTAGTCAGGGAGGGCGCCAGGCAGGTTAAGGTGGTTGTGTTCACAACTTTACACACCTGAAGGCCCAGAGAGCAGCACTCAAATACCAGGTCCCTCTGCCGCCCTCCCACCCTATTCTTGCTTTTGGGCACGTCCTCTCTGAGTCACTAACTTGCCTTCCCACAATGCAGCCTTTAAGGAAAAGGGTGATGTGGGTGCATTTGTATCTCAGTCATTCGCTCATTCATTCACCAGCACTGTTTGAGCACCTGCTTTGTGCCAGGCAGCGGGCTCGACCTTGGGGCTCTGGAGTGAAGTAGTCAGTCTCCAGGGGGAGACGTAGGACTTGGCGAAGCGAACATCTCAAGATAGCCCTGGTGGAGGGCCTGTGCTCCGAGAGAAGCGCAACCCTGCACAGTGCATGCATGGGCGTGAAAACGCTCCTGTGGGGAGGACCAGGTGTTCTGGGAGTGCATGCATGTGAGTGTGAGCATATGTGTGAATGCGTGTAACCTGAGGTGTGGGGGGGGTGTGACTCACAGTTTTCCCTTTGAAGAAATGAATGAAATTTAATCTGAAGAATGAGTAGGGCTTATGGAGACAAAGAGGGAGGGGACAGGGGAACAAGCCCCAGGCAGAGGGTCCCAAGGTGAAGGCCTAGGATGAGGGAGCCTGGGCTGTGTAGAAGTGAGAGCAGTGCAGTGCGGAGTGTGTGCGTGTGTCTGTGTTAGTGTGGAGCAGAAAGTGGTGTGATGAGCACTCTGCCCAGCACATAGTAGGTGTTCAGTTAATATTTCTTGACTATATCGATAAATAAACAGGATGCTGCGACTTTTAGCATGTTTTCCTTAGGACCTCTCTCTCTGGCACTGGAGCTGAACCCTGGTCCTGACACCGTGACATCTGTTTTTTGTGGTGGACTCTGGCCATCCAGTGGAGGCTGGCCCTGTTTAGCATGAGCTCCGCTGTACAGACTGGTGCTTTAGTCCTGGGGTTGCCCGAGGCAGCAGCCAGACTGCAGGCACCACGAAAGGACCCACACAGGGCTGGGGAGGAAACTGACTCCGACCCCCCTCCTTCTGGCTCCCACGTAGCCCCGCTTGGGTTCAGCCGAAAACCAGGTTGGGGTGCGGCAGTGGGAGCCATGGCGTCCACAGCAGCCCAGGGCCTCTCTGAACCCGCCTGCTCAAAGTACACGCTGTCCTGGCAGGACCACACATGGTGTGTGTCTGGCCAACATACACACATGGCTTCATGTTCAGAAAACAAGGCTGTGTGTGAAACTGCAAAAACGCTGACGCTTCCAGAGCGATTATGTCTAGAGATGATGTCAGCTTCCAATCCAAGTCCTGACCCTCCTTTCCAGAGGGAGTTCAAGAGCTTAAACAGGAGTCTCATGGTGGCCTTCAGCTTTAGCAGGGATCCAGACCCTTCTCGCCCTTGTCATCATCACAGACCTCAGCAGTTCCTTATGAACCTGATGTCCCTGTCACGTTGCACCTGGAGACACTGAGGTCCAGGGAAGATGAGGGGTGCCCAGCCCCTGGGCTCTCAGGGAAGACACCCAGCTTCTAAGGGCCTCATCCCTCTCCCATCTTCCTCCCTGCTCCAGTTTCCCTTGATGGTTCTTCTGTGAATAAGCAAATCAAGACCAGAGGCTCTGGAACTTACTGCCCTGTGCTGCATCGGCACTTTGTTTGCCAAACATTCCTTTGGGTTTTGTGGCTTCCCTCTGGCCTCATCCTCAGGGACTGCTTGGAAAACCCAAGGCATGGGTAGCTCCAGGTGGGCTGAGGATGAGAGGGCCCTGAGAGGGCTGCAGGGGCAAAGTTCTTGCCCTCCACTCCTGAAAGAGGAGATGTAGGGCAGAGCTTGCAAGCTCCCCATTCTGGGGCCAGGCTCGACAGACAGCTGCATCTCCACATGCTCCCCTTCCAGGCCAGCAGACTCCAGATGGGTCAGTGTTGAATCCCAGGGCCCCCTGGGCTCTCCAGAGGGCAGGACGACTACTTAACTCCTTAAAACATTGTGCTCTGGTGTGTGGGATGGGGTGTGCTGGGCAGATCCTGTCCAGGGTTGCGATGAGTACTGGTGAGGAGGGCAGGGATGTGGACCTGAGCCTGCTGCCACAGACGTCAGGTGCAGGAGGCATCCAGCCCAGACCTA